CGTCTGCCTGATTTTCTTGTGCCGCTGTGTCTAGATTTGTTGTCTCATTGCTGATATCAAACGTGTGACGGGGACCAGACTGGGGCTGGGCTGGGCTGGGCTGGCTGGGCTGGCTGGGCTGGCTGGGCTGGGCTGGGCTGGGCTGGCCTGGGCTGGCTGGGCTGGCTGGGCTGGCTGGGCTGGCTGGGCTGGCTGGGCTGGCTGGGCTGGCTGGCCTGGGCTGGTTGGCTGCTGGGCTGGGCTGGGTTGGGCTGTGGGGGCTGGACTGGGCTGGGCTGGGCTGGTGGGGAGGGTGGGCTGGCTGGCTGGGCTGGCTGGCTGCTGGGCTGGCTGGCTGCTGGGCTGGGCTAACGATTGAAAGTTTTGGCCGGGCGGGCTGTGGCTTGCAAAGCAGGACCTGCGCTGTCGCAGCATACAATTTCTATTTATCCTGTCTTGTGGGTTTAGGATTTTGTCTTTAGGGTTTAGGGCTTAGGATTTATGGTTTAGGATTTAGCGTTTAGGGCTTAGGGTTTAGGGTAGGATTTAGGGTTTTCTGCCGAGGTTGCCCTGAGGGTCCATGTACCCAAGTAGTATGTACTTTGGTCTTAAGGTAGTCCCTTATAAAAAGAACTTTAGGGCCAGCGTATAGCTTTTGCAAGCAAGCGAGAACCTGGTAGTCCAAGTGTGCCATCAGCAGCAAGGGCGGTGAGCAAAGAATCAGGATAGGAGCAACAATGACCTCTGCTGCTCCAGAGGGAGGGCTTGGGGGGTTAGGGCTTGGGTTTGGGGATAGGTTTGGGGGTTTGGGATAGGATCGGGATCTGTGGGATAGGGTTGGGCTTTTGGGGATAGGGGTTTTCTACCGGGCGTCCAACTTGGTAACCTGCGTAGGTGTGGGGGTTAACACTAGACACGGGACACCTTCTTCAGGTGCATCGATTTGATGTCACCTACATATACGCACAGTGTGGGATATGCTTGAGTCTGCCTACATCCGCCGTACCTCTGATTTAGAAGCATAGTACCCCCAAACCCTAAACCCTAAACCCATAGTGCCGGACAGACTTGCTTAACTTCGTAGGCTAAGTAAGGTCTGCTGGCAGCCCATTGCAAACCACATCGCTGTGGAGGACACAGCGGACGAAGGGCAGCACGAAGTAGCCTTGGTTGCAGCACAGGACTGAGTATGACTTCGGTGAGCGTAGTGTGACAGCAGCATCGCAGGTTTGGGGTTTAGGTGTTTAGGGTTTAGGGTTTAGGGATTAGGGATTAGGGTATAGGGTTTAGGCAACCACACTCATCATACTATACCATGGCTATTGCTTCGACCACGACGACGAATGCGACAACGACGATGACTACTACAACCCTACTACTGCTCCGGCTTTCTTCTGTCAGGGCTGCTGCAACTGCTAGCATGAAGGGTCTCAATGGACAGCGTGGCAGGGACTTGCGATCTGAAACACATGACCCTCAAGAATCTACGGTTTTGCGGGTTCCTTATTATTAAGGTTTTCTGATATAAGTCCGTAAAACGGTGGCCTATTTGGGACCAAGGTACCTACCCTACAGAACCCTTAAAGTCCATGAAAGGAACCCTTAAAAGGGAGCTTAAAAAGATAGGCTTTTAATTCCTAAGCCCTTTAGAGCCTTCCAAGGAACCCTTAAAGGAACCTTTCAAGACGCAAGAATCCCTGGATTCCTTACGGCAGTACTTGGGGTAAACATCCCTAAACCCAAAGCCCTAAACCTTAAACCCTAAACCCTAAAACCCTAAACCCTAAACCCTAAAACCCTAAACCCTAAAAATGGCATCTTACGGGATCCTTGAGAGCATCTATTTCCGATGCAAAGGATCCACAAGCGCCCAGCAGGGGTAGTTCTCTAAACTAGGACTAGGACTTGGGGGTTTTAGGGTTTCTAGAATTAAGGGTACCATAGGGTTCTCTAAACTAGGAATTAGTAGGGGGTTTAGGATTTCTATAAGGATACTATATAGGGGTTCCATAGGGCTTTAGGGGTCCTTTTTTGGGGCTCCTGTTAGCAGGGTGCGGTAGTCTTTTGGGGGCCTTAAACAGGAGCTTGGTTTTGAGAACTGCCCATGCCGGATGGGTTCTGCGAGGGGTTCCACACCTAAGGGTCTATGTACCCAAATACTATATACTTTGGCCCCAATGTACCTATATAGGGACTACTTTGAAGCCAATGTATATACTATATGAGTACATGGACCCTTGGGCACCCTGAAGTTTAGCGTTGGAACATCACTACCCCTGAACCGTGCAGGAGATCCCCAGCACTAATCGTCACGAGCACGACCCCTCCTTCCCACTGCTCGGCTGAATAGGCCCCAGAACTCCCCAACAAAAACGAAAGAATAAATGCGCACTAGTTGGGAAGCTAGGTGCCACAACCTGAACGAACTCTAAACGTGAGCCGCAAACAGCAAAATTCGAACCCCAAAACAATGAACAACTTAATCAACTTAATGGTTCAAAAACACCTGCACCAGACATGCAAATCCCACAACCCCGAAACCCGAACCTTACCTAAACCTACCATATCCGACATCTTTTTTAGGTTGCTAGTATAAACCCTAACATAGAGTCTTGAGGGGCCCTACAAAAAACTAGGTTTTTGTAGCTTAAAGTGAACCCTAAAGCCCAAACCCTAAAAGGGTAATCCTCAAGCTCAGTAGCCCCGAGATGTCTCGGCTTCGCCAACCGGCTTGCCAGTCTCCTCGGCCCAAACTTGTGTTGGAATTTGGGGTTTAGGGTTTAGGGCTTTCTCTTATTCGCCTGGCGATGAAGGTTTGTGGTGGTTCCTGCTTGTTTTGCTAGAAAGTCTTTGTTAAAGGCAACTACAAGTAGGGAGTTTAGGGTATATAAGGCTTCTTTAAGGTATATAGACCTTCTATAAGGCTCCTATAACGGCAACTGCCCACCTGAAAATGTCCTAGACTTTGGTGTTTGATGTTTGCTCTGCTGAGGTGTCATTGAGGGTTTCGAGTCTGGGGCTCATTCGGCCCTACATTGCCCGTTAGCGTCTGGTGCCCTACACCCTGAACCACTAAACCCTAAACCCTAAACCACTAAACCCTAAACCCTAAACCCTAAAACCCTGAACCCTAAAACCCTAAACCGTTAAGCCCTAAACCCTGCACCCCGAAGCCCTTAAGACTTAATTCTGAAAACAGGGACTAAAACCCTCCGCTGACTGAACCCCAAGCCTCGAGCCTTCCAGGGTTGAGGGCTTTAAGGTCTAGGGATTTAGGGTTTTAGGGTTTAGGGTTGTAGGGTTGTAGGGTTTAGGGTTGTAGGGTTTAGGGTTTGAGGGCTTAGGGTTTAGGGCTTTTCCCCCAATGCGGGCCCCCAAGGCCCCACACCCACCTTGGACCCTGAAGCCTTGCCTCCGAAGTCCAACTCCCGTTGTGCTTCCTCCGTCCCGTCTCCTAAGATCTTCGGTTCAAGGTTTAGGGTTTAGGGTTTTAGGTGGGCTTGATAGATTATGAACTTTTTGGTGGGCTATATAGAGTTTCAATGAAACCCGTCCCATCTCTTCCCACAAACCCTAAACCCTAAACCCTCAAATCTTAAACCCTAAACCCTAAGCTCTTAAACCCTAAGCCCTAAACCCTAAGCCCTAAACCCTAAGCCCTAAACCCTAAAGCCCTAAACCCTACACCCTAAACCCTAAAACCCTAAAACCATCCACACACCTTTTTTGCAGACCAGCTGCATCCAAGAGCTGCAGTCGGCGAGGTCCCAAGGGCCTTAGGGAGCACTGAAGATATAGTAGGTTTGGCTCCTCAACTTATGGCGGCTTCCTTTAAGGGACCGGTTTAGGGTTTAGGGGCTTTAGGGTTTAAAGTTTAGGGTTTAGGGCTTATATGGGGGGATTCCGAAAATAGGGGACCCCAATATAGTACCCGAAATAGTAGGATCCTTATTACAATGACCCCCCCCCCCCCCAAACAAGGTAGGCGTGGCTCCTCAACTTCTGGTTTGGGGTTTAGGGGCTTTAGGCTTTAAGGTTTAGGGCTTTAGGGGCTTAGGGTTTTGGGTTTAATTAGGGGTTTAGGGTTTTAGGGTTTAGGGTTTACTGGTTCCCTGTTGGGGCCATATGATAAATGATCATTTTTAAGCCTTAACTATTAGGGTTGTATAATTACAAAAATGTATAATTGTCTCAAGCAAGGACCCAGTTTAGGGGCTTTAGGGTTTAAGGTTCAGGTTGTTCAGGCTTTTGGTCATAGGGGCCGTAACAAAGGAGCACTTCTTGAAGGTATCATATCCCACTAGGACAACACGGTTGCAAATGGACTGTAAAGCCTACAAGGAACATAAAAATGGACTGCCGACAACCGGAACTCACGGAATGCCTGCTAACTCTGCACTCCAGAGTTTATGGATGAGGGCCATCATGCAAACCCAATCTCACTTGCGAAAAAGATACTCGCGGCAGCAAGCCACCCCCCCTAAACCCTAAACCCCTAGCCCCTAAACCCTAAACAGGCCTAAACCACCGTCAGACATCTTCTCAACCATGGGGCCAGGGAAAAGGGGGGGCAGTCTGCACAAGGTACCCAGCTATCTTCGGGAACTGCACTCTTCTGAATAATGTAAGGGCCTTAGTGATTAAAATCGGGTTTTGGGGTATTCTTGAATAATGTAGGGGCCGGCAGGCTTCGGCTTCTGTGTTCGAGGCTTCGGTGGCTCCTTGTTCGCCTCGGCTTGCAGCCATGCGAAGTTCTCGGCGAGCAGTTCCATCCAGAAATTGCCCGTGCTCAAACCCTCGACCAAAATCGAGAATTGAAACTCATCGATGGTGATGTCGATGATGGGCGGCAGCAGGTGGATGTGCTTCGCCAAGCACTTCTGTGCCTGCTGGGGTTTCTTCCGTTTGCCCTTGCTCTGCTCGGCTTCCGGCTCCTCTGTTTTCATGGCTTCGGCCAGAAGCTCGTCGCAGGCGCTCTGACGAAGCTCAAGGATGCTGTCCATGACCGGCACATTCGGAGCCTCCAAAATAGTGAAGGCAGCTATTTAGGCCCTATATCACCCCCAAACCCTAAACCCCTAAACCCTAAAACTCTAAAACCTTGAACCCCCAAACCCCTAAAACCCTAAACCCCCAAACCCCTAAACCCTCCTAGGCCCTAAACCACGCAAGGCTCCAGGACCTTCGAGCCGGAAGGAGCCTGAGAACACCGGACCGAGCCCCATAGCCGGCTTCTTGCAGGCCCCTAAACGCCTAAAGTAGGGTTTAGGGTTTGAGGGCTTGGGGTTTTAGGGTTTTAGGGGTTGAGGGCTTGGGGTTTTAGGGCTTTAGGGGTTGAGGGCTTAGGGTTTTAGGGTTTAGGGGTTTAGGGGTTTTAGGAGTTTAGGGGTTTAGGGGTTTGGGGGTGTCGGGGTTTAGGGTTTCCGGCTTATAAGCCCTACAAACCCTCAGCAGACTTAGAAAAAGGAGGTGTTGTAGGGGCCTGTTTAAGGTGTAGGGTTTAGGGTTACTACATCCCGACGGGTCCATGTATACAAGAATGATGGAACGGGGTCCCAAAAGCCATCCTCTTTCCGTTTGCGGGAACGTAATCCCAGAATACGATTTTATATGGACCCTCCAGGTCTGATTTATTGATTCTTTAGGCTTCCCACTCTTCTCCGCGTTCACTGAGGTTAAACCCTAAAGCCTAAACCCTAAACCCTAAACCGTGAGGTTAGGGATGCCAATGTTCCCACTTTCAGGAGCCGGGGCGCGCTGAGAAGGTACTTGGTGGGGCGTTGCAGTCTGAGACATCTATCCCGAACGCTTCATGTACCCATATGGGTAGTCTCTAAATTAGGGTCCCCATTTTGGGTCACCAATATAGTACGGCACCCTTATAAACAAGGACCCTAAACGGGACCCGAATTTAGAGAACTACCCATATAGTATGTACTTAGGCCTTGAAGGGGTTCCTATTTTGGTACGTTTAGTTCGGGCCTATATAAACTCTGCGAGCACATGGAGCCGTTGGGCATGCCATGGCATGCATTTCCCGGGTTCGACGGGAAATGCAGTTCACCAGTACTCCAGGGCCCTCTAGTCAAGACCCCAAAACCCTAAGCCCAGTACCCCAGACCCAGAACCCACCTAAAGCACTACAGAAACCCTAACTCGAAATCCAGCACTGCCCTAATTTAGGCCCTAAACCCTATAAGCCCTAGACCCTAAACCCTGAACTAAATCCTAAACCCCCAACCCTCCAACCCTAAGACCCTGAACCCAAAGACCCTAAGACCCCAACCCTCCAAACCCCCGAGTTTCAGTCGGACGGCCGTGCGGAGTACAAGACCTTGCGAGCTGCAGGTCTTCGGTCGAGCCTGTAGTGTCCTGCGTGTTAGGGCTTAGGGTTTAGGGTTAGGGCTCAGGGATAGGGGGTTTGGGGTCAGGATTTAGGGTTTAGGGGATTAGAGGTTGGGGGTTAGGAGTTAGGGTTTAGGGGTTTTTGGGTTAGGGTTTAGGGTTCAGGGGTTGGGGTTTAGGGTTTACGGATCAGGGGTTAGGGTTCAGGGTTCAGGGTTTAGGGGTTAGGGGTTCGGATTTAGGGTTTAGGTATCGGGATCAGGCGTTTAAGCTTTAGGGCTGAGGAACTGCTCAAGGGGGCCAGGGTTCACGAGTCTACAAAAAACCTACTATCCTGCGATGGTGTCTTCCCCTAAGGCTCAAACTTGTATGGTATGGTCTTTGGGCCCAAAAGCCTGAAAACATGAGTCCTTAGAGCCTGAGGGTTAAGATTGCAACAACATCCAGGAGTGTAATCCTAAAGCCTGCCAAACCCTGAACCTCATGCAAGGGCTGATAGGGCTTGGGGCTTTCGGTTTGGGGTTGAGGGTTTTCTTGTACGGTTCCGGAGATCATTTACACAGAAATGTCTGTCACCATCAAAATTGCCAAGGCCCAAAACCCTAAACACTAAACCCCAAAACGCGCCTGTTTGATAGAAGTAGATAGGGAAGGCGCCGAAGCGAGCAGACAGATAGTGGCGTCCACTGGTCGTGATCGTGGCCTGGGAGAAACAGCTAAGAGAACCTGAAACTCTGGAACATCACCACGGTTTAGGGTTTAGGGTTTAGGGTTCGCAAAACTGAAGAGACTTACTACAGCACCATACCGCACCTAAAACCGCCTGAAACCCGCAGAAAAATAGAAATAGAACAACTAAGCCCTACGATTGTCTTAGGGTGGATCGATCTGCAAGCTGATGTGAACTCAACCCTTCACCCGTCACTGTGAGCATGCCTTTTGTGGGGTAGGCTGTATACTCCCTATTGCTCTCACCCATTAAACTCTAAAACCTGCACCCGAAACCCTGAACCCTAAACCCTAAATACACCTGAAGAGGACCTAGTGAACCTTTCAGCGCCGAGTCACGAATGAGTCCCCATTTTTGGAAAGGCTTGAGGTGATATCCTCCAGATGCACCTAGGTCGTGCATGATTTAGGGTTGACCGTTCGGGGTTTAGGGTTTCGGGCTAGGGAGCTGTTCTACATACCCTTAGACTTAGGGTGAAGAGTGCTGTCTACGGCTGCTGCACTACATCAGGTTGCGCTTGAAGTACGTCGAAGGTCTACCCCACGAGTACATGTACCCAAAAAGTACATGCTTTGGCCGAAAAGTACCTATTTTGGGACTATTTTAAGGCCAAAGTATATACTGTTTGGGTACATGGACCCTTAGACCCTAAACCCATATAGTGCCCTTAAAGGAACCCTTAAAGGAGCTCTTAAAGGAACCCTTAAAGGCTACATGTCGAATTCAGACAACTACCCAGGTTTAGAACAGCCACCATCTCTGCAACATCCGTCGGTGGCAAACAACGTGCAACCGACCCTAAGGGTCCTTTGTCTCCAAAACGTGTATACCCGGTTAGGGTTTAGGGTTTAGGGTTTAGGGTTTAGTGTTTGGGGCTTAGGGTTTAGGGCCTTAAAGCAACCCCTTGTTGACTACGTTAGGGTCAGAGTATTTACTGCGTGGGTACATGAGCCTAGGGTCCAGTAAAAGACAATAAAGAACCTGGTGGAATGCTGTAAATTCTTCAGGCCTTGATGTTGTCTTAGTTAACCTAAGGGTTCATGTACCCAAATACTATATACTTTGGCCTAAAAGTAGTCCCTATAAAGGTACTTTGGGGCCAAAGTATGTACTATTGGGGTACATGGACCCTTAGGGTTATCTTTGGAAAATGACACGTTGTCAAGCATGCCCGGCGCACCTTGCGACCAGATAGACCTAAGCATCTGCAGCTTTGGTCGTCCTTGGAAGTAAGGATTCCCACCTGATACCATAGCACGATCCAGCCAATGAAATAGCCTGGGCTGCTTTCACCAACCCACTGGGAGAAATACATGCTTTTTAGGGATAGATATGTTATAATATTATAACAGGTACCCAGAGACCAAAAAAAAACTGAACAAGCGAGCAGCAGATAAGGATGCCAATAACAGCGCCAAGGTTTAATGCATCTGCCAGGCATTGGTTTCGCCAGATGTTAGGCTCTTCCCAGAACATCGCACAGGATGTGCAAGGACCGTCATTGGCACTGAACTGCCCGGCTGGGCAGCGAACATAAACTTCTGAAATGAAGGTCACAAAGTCTGCAGGGCTTGAGCAAGTGATTGCTGGAATCGAGCTGTACTCTGGTTCACACCAACACAGGCTGTATGTTCCAGGGGGAAGCTGATCCTCGGTGACAAAGCCGAAGCTGTAGATAAACTCGGCGCCAGTTGAGATCACAGACTCAGATTCCAAAGATCTCTGAGCTTGAGATTCTCCACAGCTTGGCTGGATGCGAACAATTCCTGAGCTAGTCTCAGAGGCCATCAACAACAGAAACATGTCCCTGAAACAAGCAAAAGATGCGACACTTGTTCAAAAGCCTAGATACCGCTGGTGGAGATCCAAACACCAGACACAGGCAGCTCCAGATCCTCTCGGATTGGCTCGGAATACAAGACCCCATGCAAAGCCTAACGGCTTCGGGGCTTAAGCGGTTTAGGGTTCACCCTTCCTGAGGGGAATTGGCCCTGAGATCGGATTAGCCGGTTTCATCGTCGTGCCGGTGGTCCAAGACGGTTTAACTGGTTTAACGTTTAGGGTTTAGGGTGTGTTCCAAACGCTCAGAACAAAATCAAACTGGCTCAGCCAATTTACGTCCTCGCCCAACAGGCTTTCTAGGCAGCGGTTCTTTCGGAATTATCTGGCCGAAAGGACCCGGGACACCGTAGCTAGCCAATTTCGCTCGAAAGCTCCTCCGGAAGTTTAATATTAGTATAATATAATATAATACAACATATTATAATATATAGCATATGAATACTGATTTTTTTGCAGAATGCGGGCATTTCTTTCAGACAAAAGATTGCCGCTCGGGGCGGCCCTGGGGCACTTGTCCCTGCGCTCCTCAAGACCGCCCGAGAGGTACACTGGAGGAAGTTCGGCTTCAGGGTAATGTAACGGGCCTTAATAATTAGAACAGGGCTTTGGGGTGTTTCATACTATAATAATATAAGAATACAGAACTGCCAGAATAGTGTAGGTAATTATTAAGGCCCCTGTATTGTTATTTGGACTCGGTTTCAACGTCTATGGGTTCAGCTCCGTACACGTGGTTACAGGTTCGGCTTCCACATCAGCGCGAGCAGACACTCTGTCACAAGCTCTTGAAGAGTCTTCGAACGCAATTGGCCAGCAACCCATAAAGGTCCAGGTACCCAAATACTGGGTTCCCGTTAAGTGATTTAATTTAAGTTGCCAATATAGCGAAGCCATACTATTTACTATAGATTCCTAAAAAGGAAACTCAAAGGAAATCCCTTCACAAGAACCCAGAATAGCATATATTTTAGCCCCAAAGTACCTAGATAGGGACTACTTTAAGGCCAAAGTATGCACAATTCGGTTACATGGATCCTTAGGCGACGACCTCCTGTGTCCTTCGAGCCAATGATAAATTTCCAATGGTGACGCTAGCTGGCAATGACCCCCCGGGTCCCACAAGTTAACTATGCCACACATCGAAATTGGCTACCAAGAACGCCTAAGGGCCTTTTAGCCAATTGTTGGACGCGTCCTTCGAAGGCCAACCCTGAGACACCACAAACTGGTAGCTGCCCCCACAATCGTCCACGTCGCTAGCCGATTAGGAGAAACCATTTTTTGTCCCTCGCCATGAACCTCACTCACACACTACATGCTCCAAAAACCATAAACCGGAGTCAACCCTAAACCCTTTAAACCCTAAACCCTATGAACCCTAAACCCTATAAACCCTAAACCCTAAACCCAAAGCCCTGAACCTTATAAGCCCTAAACCCTAAACCACAAACCGTAAACCAAGTCCTCTCCGATGGTCACCATCCTCGTCTCTTGCTTGTTCGGCCCCCGCAGGGCCAGATGCCCGACCGAAACATTGAAGTCTGAGATCGACTCGCAGGCCCCTGCCGTGTCCTCACATCTGGGGGGTGTCCGAAAATAGGGGAAACCCTAACATAGTGCCCTACAATAGTAGGATCCATATTAGAAGGACCACAAAATAAGGTACCCCAATTTTCGGAAAGTCCCATCTGGGTTGGAAGGTCACCGTTTAGGAATTAAGGATTATAGGGCTTTATCATCTAGGGTTATGTGCGAATTGTACAGGCTTTTGTAGGGCAATAAGATTCGCCTTTGTTGCTCTCTGGCGCATAGGACCCTCCTTCAACTAACTACCCGGCAAGGCCCAAAGACACGCGACATCACGTGAATAAGGAGTGGAAGGCCTTGTTGCTGGTTCATTGTCGGGAAAAGTTGGGCTAAGGATTCCACAAAGCCTACATCAACCGACTTTGCCACCCAAGACGAAGCCCCAAGCCAAAACTTGCCCCTAGAGACCCAGCCGAGGGTCGTTGTTGCACCAGCAGAGCGTGTAGACGCCAGGGCTCTGGGCAGCCAGCCAGCGCTGCTGGGCTACGACACTCCTCGGTTAGGGGTTAGGGGTTAGGGGTTAGGGTTTAGGGTTTCGGGTTTGGGGGTTTAGGGTTATATATGGCTGCTGGGATATTTTGAGCTTTAGGGTACTTACGACTTACGGGCTTGTATAGGGTTTTTCGAGGGTAAGGGCTTAGGATTTGTGGGCTTAGGGTTCAAGCTTTGGGATTGAAGATGTGTTTTGATGCTTGAGGCTTGGGTGGTTTTGTTCACCATCTGCTCAGACATGTGTGTTTTTGTGTAGGGTTTAGGGTTTAGGGTTGGGTTTGAGACTGGTTATCTTGCTTACTTGACTAAGGTAGATGACCGCTGGTTCACTCACTGGCTTCCTTCAGGGGCCTTAGCTTGGAAAACATCTCCAAGAATCTCCCCTGCACTATGCAAGTAGAGGCCACTCCAGGCCACATTCCACCGGAAGCGAAACGATTCGAGGAAGGATTCCGGCGTTTCCACGTCCGCTGAATAGCAGGTTTTCGCAATTGTCACTTGCCTTAGTTGTTGAGTTCATAAGCACAAAAAGTGTACACTTTCAGTTCTATAGGGGATCATATTATGTATGCCAAAAAGTTTAACGTGTAGCAATTCAGCTCCTAAGTTGCACAAGAGAGGTCGTCAAGACGGGCTCGATGCCTCCGACATCCTTCAGCGTGAGCAGTGCCCGGTTCGAAGCCAAGCTCTAAGACGCCCCTCTAGCTATGGCCCTGCCTGCGGAGTCAAGGTCGTACATATGATGATGTCACTATATGTCATATTGTATGTCATATCTTAGTCTACATTGAACATCGTTACCCAAACCATACTAAGACCAGCAACTTCTACTCTAGAATCGCTACTTTCCCTCATACAGTTACTTAGGAAACCCTAAACCATGAATAGCCTTCAGGTCTGGAGCAGAATGGTGGGCCGGACTTGTAGTATGGAGCCCTGCGGAAATTTATGAGTGTAGGCTTTAGGGTTCAGGGTTTAGGGGGGGGCGATCACTTTACGCTTAAAAACATTCATGCACTTCTAGACGATTGCTGTTGTTTTGGATGCTGTTTGCCAGACTCTAAACCCTGAGCCCCAAAACTGCAGACCCTACCTATAGTCTCCATCGTAGTTCATGTTTGGGGTTACCGTTTAGGATCCTTAATACAAAATTGGTTAGACCAAAAAAAGGAACTACAATGGAGACTATAGGTAATCCCTAAACCCTAGCATGGGCTCCGTCCTGGACACTGCACTCTGCAGTACCCGATGCACAAACGTGCGTTTGGCTGTCCGAAGGGCCGACAATGTTCAGACTTCCCAGCCTCAAGCAGGTTGGGGCTTAGGGTTCCGGGTTTCGGGTTGAGGGGGTTAAGATTTAGGGTTAGAGCCGTTAGGGTTCAAGGTTTCGGGGTTTAAGGTTTACGGTTTAGGGTTCGGGTTTCGCATATACAGCTTCGTAGATTAAGCTTCCTGCCGGAAAAGGGTTTTCAGAAGGGTCCCCCGAAAGAGATACTGCAAAAATTCAGGGTTTGGGGCTTATGGCTGAAGGCTTCGTGATCTGGCTTCTGTGATTTCCAGAAAACTCCGCTGCCCTGATAAGCTGTTATTTTAGGGTTTAGGGTTTAGGTTTTAGGGTTTAGGGTTTAAGCTGTTATTTTCTGCTCTGCTGCCTCTACCCAAAAAGATGTACGTATAAGGGGCCATGGCGAGCCGTGCACGACAACTCCAACGAAGTGTCCTGGTCTTGGTTTCGACTCTCAGTGGCTACTCATAGGCCCCTAAGTGGTTCCTTTTTGGGATTACCTTATAGGATTCCAAATATAAGCCATTAAAAGGAACTGCTTAGGGGCCTCTGGGTACTCATCCTAGACGACTATGCCACGCAAAGGAGGCTCCAAATCATGCTTGCCCAAATTCTTCCGAGTGGGCTAAAGCTTGATGAGGGTTGATTTTTGCTGTTGGCTATGCAGGTACCATACAAAAAAAAACAAACTGTTGAAGGATTTAGGGTTTAGGGTGTTCAAGGTTACTCACAAAAAAAACCCAAATCCGTAACACACACCTTCGCTTGTGCACCTCCGACGTTGGCGTTCTTCCGGTCGCGAGTTTAGCTCCGAACCGCTAAACTTGAAACCCAGCATAGTGAACCCCAGAAAGTTGGAACATGGATTAAGGGTGATTGGTGCAGGGATTCCCTATACTCTACCTTCAGCGTATGAGGATCATGATGTTCCAAACTTCTGGTATCTCCTTCGGTCTTCTCCTCGAAACATACCATATCAAAGCTATGCACTACGACGTAGTGAAAGTCTACGCTAAAATTGAACCTTCCGTGCAGCTAAAGTAACCCAAACAAAATGGAACTGAGGTTCTCGTAAAACGAATCAAACCTTAAACCCTAAACCCTAATGAACTAAAGCCCTAAGCCCTAAACCTTAAACCCTGAACCCAACACCCGAAACTATGAAACACTAAGCTCGATTTAATAGCAAAATACATGAAGATGTATATATATATATGTAAGAGAACCCTTTATGTATTATTTGACCCGTGGCCTGGGTGACGATCTTGGTCTGTAATCCTAAAACTTGTAAAACTTTTAAGATTTTGGAGATCCCTGGGCCACCAAAACCTTTAAAACTTTTAAAAGCT